GTGTACATAATTTCGCTCCACCACATGTACCACATGAGGTGCGAATGACAATAAAGAAACTCTGACTCTGACTCTGATTAAAGGCCACTGTATTTTTTCTCGTTTTAAAGGGGCGACAGTAAAAACACAAAAAATGTAAAAGTTCTGCTTAAAACTGGTGTGTCGTAATTTCACTTGGCCACACATCAGGGCTGCCACTCATGTTTGCCTCCAGCTTGGATTCAGCAGAGGAGCAGCCAATCATCAAGGGACTGTACAGCTTCAAATATCTTAAATCAATTCTTATTTCTGCACCTAATCTGAAGCCTCAAAAATGATCTAAGTCTTAGAGAGTCAAAACTTCTTACAGAGTCTGGATAGGTAGTCCACTGTTGCTGTTGGTCAGCTCTGAACTGGATCTGCAGGTTCTGAATCCCAGCTGACTGGCTCACTTTGACGATGCAGCTCCTGGACAGGCACTCGGCCTGGCTAAGAACAGGCGTTGACGGCATCACTGCTCACATTAGTGCAGAGTAATGGGACAAATCACAAGCAGAGATCATGAGCAGTGTTTCCAGAATCTGGGTGCACAAGCTGACTTCATAAATGTAGATAGTAATTTATCATTCATTCAATCTTTATTTACACAGGTTCGTCTCATTGAGCCTCAAGGACTCATTTACAAGAGAGACCTGAATTTAACAAAGAATGATGACAACAGTGGACAATCATAAAAGAAAGCATATAAATTGAAAAAATAAATGGAAGAAAATTATATTAAAGAACTGAAGAAGTCTTTTGTATGAAAGACAAAATGTTACAATTTTTTAAAAACAAAAAAGATCATGTCATCTGGACTTCGTTTTTTTGTTAAAAAAGAAACGTTTCGCCCCTCATCCAAGAGGCTTCGTCAGTCTGAGGCCTAGCCATCTGGTATTACCCAGAAGCCACCCTGACTCTTGTGTTTCAAGCCTGCCTCAGATACCCCTGAAGTCTGGCCTTTTCACTAATGGTTTCAAACTTTGTGTTACAATTTTTTGTTTTTTGAACTCGTCCAGAGGACCTGACTTAACTTTTTTAGATGTTAAAGAATGAAACAAATGCAGCTACATTATAAAGCGATGTAAAATACTAAAAACAGGAACATGTCTGTGTTGGTTTTTGCCATGAACTTAGCAGATGTTTGAAGACACTTAGGTCAAGGTCGAGAGCTTCAATTGTTTTTGAAAGATATTCCAAGAAACAGGAGCAGAGTAGGAGAAGGTCCTGTTGTCAAGTTCAGGTCACACTGAGGGAACACTGCAGGTAATAATGTCCTGAGAGCGCACGCTGTAGCTGCACTCACGCAGACATGTAGGAGGAGATGTATGAAGGCAACAGACCAAGAAGTGATTTAAAGATGAAAATATACCAGTGGGAGAGTCTGTGAGAAGTTAATGATGACCAGTTAACCAGTGAATACAGGGTGCAGTGGTGGGTACGATAATCACAGCCAGTTATGAATCTTAGTGCACCATGATAGACAGCGTCCAACATCTGCAGGGTTCTTGTAGGAGCGTTCATGTAAATAATGTCACCGAAGTCAATGGAGGGAAGGAAAGTCACAGTTACAAGGTGTTTCCTAGCATTAAGAGTTAGACAGGATCTGTTTCTGAAAAAGAAATCCAGTTTAACTTTCAGGGTTTTTTTTTAAACAAGTTTTCGACATGGAGCTTAAAAGAGAGATGCAAATTGACCAAGATACCCAAGTATTTGTAAGAATCAACAAACTCAATAGGGACACCATTCGGTGATAAAATCAAAAGGAGGATTGCTGGGACCGACTTCCTGTTTGAAAACAACATCCCTTTGGTTTTGTCGGCGTTTAGCACAAGTTTGAAATGGAACAAATCTGACTGGATGATGCTGAAAGCAGACTGTAAAAGCTGGAAATCTTTAGCAAATGTTTTAGCTCGACAATAAACAACTGTGTCATCAGAATAGAAATGTAAGGATGCATCTGGAATGATCATTACTTATGCACTGCAGGTTGTGAAGAGGGTGGATCCTAAGACTGAACCTTGTGGTACACCGTTGTTAACAATGGTGTTACTGGAGAAGGACGGGGATGGTCATTTCAGTTTGAATGGTTTGAGCAAATGAAAATGTTCACAACAAATTTGATTCAAAATATGTTTCCAATATCATCATTTTGTTTCTACAAACTGTTTGCAAAAAAAGAATCACTGATAAGATACTGATTCAGTAGAAGAAACCTGTCATGTATAGAAAGTGTCAGTTCATAAAATTTAACCAGCTGGGTTGTCTTGTCTCCCAAATACTTTTGCCACAACAATTTGATGGCAGCGATGGATTAAAATTAGAAGTCTGTGCAGAAGTTAGACAAACACATCTACTTACGGATGTCACTGACGGAGCAGTTCACGACCAAGGATTCAACAGAACCCAAATCATTTTTGGCTTGAACCCAAACCAAGATGGTCTGAACTGATCTGGACAAACTAAATGTAGCCGAGGGCGTCTCAGTTTCATTAGTGTACAGGTCCTTCTCCACGGGTCCTTCTCTGTGATTTTCAGATACAGTTTTCACCCTGAAAACCACAAAAAACAACAGTTGATCATCCACGAGTGCAAGCACATTTTGTTTGTGTTTGCATTATTGAAGATCATTATTACTTCAGCAAAAAGCGATCTTTAAAATAGGTGTCCCGTCCTCTGTCCCAGATGCACGTCACAAACCCACTCTCACTTTTGACCATTTCATAGACGCATGAAATGTTTTTTGGGCGATCCGGTAGATCTGAACACCACAGAATACAGAGACGATTAAATGGGATAAAAACACTAAACAGAAAGTTTTCAATAAATTAAAACAGAGCTTGAATTGTTTAAAAAAAAAACAGTTTGTAAAGATAACTAACAAAATGCATCCCATTAGTTTCAGATGAACATCTTCATGTTTTCAGCTGGACAAACTTGCTGAATGTGTTAAAACCAACAGTGTTGTTAGATCAGTTTTTTAATCACATCTAACCGTGAACTGAGCCCTCTCTAAGAAAAGAAACCAGAACTAAATGTTCGTTTTTAACAGCTCAAAACATTGTTAAAGGTCACTCAGCCTTAATGAAGAGAAAGCTTCATTTCTTGCACTTGAAGGCACAATCTCAAATAAACATCCTTGGAAAATAAAAGTCGCAATAAAGCAGCTTTTCTCAGAATAAACTACAATCAGGGTGTCACATTAATCTGTAAATGAATCAGCATGAGCCAAGACTGATCCCTTACACCCAGGTGAGATGTCCAGTCCACAGGGGTCCAGTGAATGGCAGCGAGACTTCAGCTCATACATGTTGCATCTGCAGTTGTACGTTCTCTTCTCTGTTATCTTCTCCACTTTAAAGTAGATGGTTGTAGAGTTCAGCTGTTTGGTGCTCAGCGGGGTGTCCGTGTTGTCAATGTACATGGAGCCCTTGCATTTGCAGTTGAAGGTGCAGTACACATCAAAACTCGACCCCCGCAGGACCTCAGAACCAGCACTGGACCGGAACACACAGGAGGTCTCAGCTGGAGGAGGAAATGTTCAGATAAGTTCCGTGAATCACTCACAGGTCACACAAGAAGAAGCTTCCTGACAAACCTGGGCCCATAAACCAATAAATAAATTCTAAAGTCAAAATGTTAGTTTTTATTAAAAGAAGCACACCAAAACCTGACTTTTAACTGATAATGGGTCCAAAGTTCTGAGTTTCAAAGTTTCCAAAAGGAGTGCAGTTACAGACGGAGTTATACCAGCGCAGGTCTGCAGGGTGAGGGTGAGCGCAATAAACCACGACAGGAACATGGTTGGAGTCTTTCCAAATGTGCCCCTCTCATCTCCGGGGGAGTGTTAGTTCCCCTAAAATAAACAAAAGTATTTAACGCACTCATTCGCATTAGAGACATGTATTTATTCAGTCACTGGTCACAAACCCATCACATATTTTAAAGGCATGTTTTGAATGGAGCCATGTGCCGTGACGCAGCTGCGCGCCATGAAAACGTTTCAAAAATCAGACCCTCACTCACCAAAAAGTTGCGTCCCATCATCTGGTGAGCTTTAAAGAAGTCCTCCTGAAGGCCGTGGAGCCATCTGTGAGTCTGGTTCTCTGGTCCTTTTACAGCTTCACGTCCACGCACCGAATGACGCATCTGCTGAAGTGACAAAACTCCTCTAACTGCTATGTGTCACAGTTTACGCCACAGTGCCACGCACACGCATGCACACACACACAGCTGCTCACACACTGCTGAACATTTGTCAAAGTAGTTAGATAATAACATAAATGTGTAAGTTAAACATGCAGATATTTGCTAAGCTTAAGCCCAAATAAGAGAAGAATAGTTGACCTATATGTTTTTTTAATTTGTGGTATTCTCCAAAAAATATTTGCTGCATTAAAATAAAGCCACTTACAATAATGAACATTCAGATAAATGCTAAATGTTTTCTGACTTTCATGTGGAATTCCTTCACATTTTTGTTGCGTTTCTATAACGCGCAAAGTTTGAACCTGAAAACAAAGTATAACACAAGAAGTTCTCAGACGATTGTTCTTCCTCCTATTTTTCACACCTGATGTCTTTGCAGTTACAACTACATCCCCACGTGGTGCAGTTTGGGACTTTCCCCTCAAAGTAGCTATATTCAGTCAGAGGCCTGGAGTTCAGAGTTACTGCAAACAGCTTGAGCAGTGTTGCATTTACACAAACACTTCCCTTAAAAGCATCGAAAAACATCCTCCTGAAGTGTAAATAATGAAGAAGGAAGTGAGAGAACTGTCAGGAAATGGAGTTGCACGTGGTGCACGAATTACTGAGGGTGGAGGAGCTGTACCAAATGTAGGCCGTGATGGGGACCCCCCTCCCCCCCCACCACCACCAGAGATGTTGGCATGTTTTGGAATAATTTTACACTCTGTGTCACTTCACTACTCAACAGCACAATGGGTAACGAGCTCAGTGTCAACATTAAAACGACACCTACAGTTCAGCTGTGCAACGTGTGCTTAAATATGTCTTCCTGTGAGACGTTCAAACAAATAGACTGTTTTATTAGTAATAAAATGTAGTCCATGTAGTCTTTATTACTAGCTAATATTACTTTGGTTAGTAGTGTAAAAACTGATTAATAAACCAAGTTTAAGTGGTTAAGAAAACATAAGCTGCCAAGAATTCAAAAAGCGTTCATTACAAAAACAACTAGACTTTATTTGTAACAGAAGACGTTTCGCTCCTCAGCGAAACGTCTTCTGTTACAAATAAAGTCCAGTTGTTTTTGTATTGAACGCTTTTTGAATTCATCATGTCCTGGATGACTGAGAATCTTCACCAGCATAAGCTGCCAAGGTTTGGATTTTTAATCTAACTGGTGCCTTTTCTTTTACAAAGTAAAAACATTTGTTGTTTTTTTATTCTTAAACACACAGAGCCTGGGGACTTTGGGTCTGGCTCTCCAATCTGTGGTGCTGAGGTCACCGAGGTGGTTAAAAAGCTCCTCGGTGGCAGGGCCCCAGGGGTGGATGAGATTCGCCCGGAGTTCCTTAAGGCTCTGGATGTTGTGGGGTTGTGTTGGCTTACGCGACTATGCAATATTGCGTGGACATCAGGGACAGTTTCCCTGGATTGGCAGACCAGGGTGGTGGTCCCTCTATTCAAAAAGGGGGACTGTAGAGTGTGTTCCAACTACAGGGGGATCACGCTCTTAAGCCTCCATGGTAAGGTCTATTCAGGGGTTTTGGAGAAGAGGGTCCGTCAGATGGTTGAACCTCAGATTCAGGAGGAGCAGTGCGGTTTTCGTCCTGGTTGTGGAACACTGGACCAGCTCTACACCCTCAGCAGGGTCCTGGAGGGTGCATGGGAGTTTGCCCAACCAGTCTACAAATGCTTTGTGGACTTGGAGAAGGCGTTCGACTGCGTCCCTTGGGGAACCTTGTGGGAACCCTGTGGGGGGTACTCTGGGGTACGAGGCCCTTTGATACGGGCTGTTAGGTCCCTGTATGACCGGTGTCAGAGCCTGGCGGCAGTAAGTCGGGCTCGTTCCCAGTGAGAGTTGGACTCCACCAAGGTTGCCCTTTGTCACCGATTCTGTTCATAACTTTTATGGACAGAATTTCTAGGTGCAGCCAAGGTGTTGAGGGGATCCGTTTTGGTGACCTTAGGTTCGCTTCTCTGCTTTTTGCAGATGATGTGGTCTTATTGGCTTCATCAGGTAGTGATCTACAGCATTTGCTGGAGCGGTTTGCAGCCGAGTGTGACGCAGCCGGGATGAGGATCATGGTCTTGAGCCAGAAAAGGGTAGAGTGCCCTCTCCGGGTCAGGAAGGAGGTCCTGCCCCATCTGGAGGAGTTTAAGTATGTTGGGGTCTTTTTCACGAAAGAGGGAAAAATGGAGCGAGAGATCGATAGGTGGATAGGTGCAATGTCTGAAGTGAAACGGGCGTTGTACTGGTCTGTCGTGGTGAAGAGAGAGCTGAGTCAAAAGGCGAAGCTCTCAATTGACCAGTCAATCTACGTTCCTACCCTCATCTATGGTCATGAGCTTTGGGTTGTGACCGAAAGAACGAGATCTCGGATACAAGCGGCCGAAATAAGTTTTCACTGCAGGGTGTCTGGGCTCTCCCTTAGAGATAGGGTGAGAAGCTCGATCATCCGGGAGGGACTCAGAGTAGAGCGGCTGCTTCTCCACGTTGAGAGGAGCCAGTTGAGGTGGCTCGGGCATCTAGTTAGGATGCCTCCTGGACACCTTCCTGGTGAGGTGTTCTGGACACGTCCCACTGGGAGGAGGAGGCCCAGGGGAAGACCCAGGGCACGCTGGAGGGACTATGTTTTTCGGCTGGCCTTGGAACGCCTTGGGATCCCCCCGGAGGAGCTGGTCTAAGTGGCTGGGGAGAGGGAAGTCTGGACCTTTCTACTTAGGCTGCTACCCCCACGACCCGACCCCGGATAAGCAGAAGAAAATGGATGAATGGATGAACATATAGGCACTAATGCACCCCCATACCAGGTCTCTCTTGTAAATTAATCCTCATGGCTCAATGGGACTAACCTGTTTCAATAAAGGTTGAATGAAAAATACCATCAGAGAGGCAGGATAACCAGCTGAATGGTCCGTCTCCTCTGAAGGATGCATCTGTCAAACCTTTACCCATCTTGACTTCTGAAAGATTCAGCCTCTCTAAAATGCTTTTTTTGTATTCATTCCTCTTACCAACATGGTAATAATTAACCTAATTAGTTGCCTCCAGATGTTTCCTATTTGTACCATTTACTTTTACTGCCTTTTGTTGACTCGTCCCAACCTTTTCTAGGTGTGCTGTACCACAACATTCAAAAATACTTGTTTTGTTTCCAATAACTGGTACAGTTTCTTAGTTTGAACACATGTGATTACTATGTTCCATTGTGAAACAAATCTTTTTTTATGAGATATGCAAATCACTGCATTTTTTCCACATTTTACACAATGTCTCAATTTTTCCCCAAATTGGGGATGATAGTCTTTATGGACGTGTCTCAGGCTACATTAGAAGTGCTACAACTAGCTACTGCCACCATTATAAACCATATACTTCTGTGTAGATGTAAAGTTTTCATAGTAAACTCATAAAAACATTAAAAACATATATTCAAAATGAGTCAATTTTCATAAACGTATCTCTCAAACTTGTGGTTTGGGACTCCATTAAACATGAAGTTTGTGGTCTTGAGATGATTTCCAAAACACTAATTTAAATTCTAAATTAATTGCTAATAACAAAGTCCATGCTCAATAATCCAGGTATACAATTAAACATTTTTCAGTCAGGTCATCTGGACAGTTCTTTTTTTTTTTGTGCTGAAACGTTTCGCCTTCGGTCCGGAAGGCTTCATCAGTCAAGGAAACACAGACGCATTAAAACTGAAGCTCATCACACATTATATAACTGTAATAACAAAAACTCTACAGTACCTCTGGAGTTAAAATATTTGTAGATAAATTATAATGTAATTAGAAAACTGATGAGTGCATTTCAGTTTATTTATTTATTTATTGAACTTTATTTAACCAGGCAAACTCCATTGAGATCACAGATCTCTTTTGCAAGGGAGGCCTGGGCCTGAAGGCAGCTAACATGCATGTTTTTGGTCAGCAAATACTGACTGAACAAGACAAAGATCTGAAGACATGAAATTAAAATCTGGGTTCATGTCAGGGGCGATTTTCGAATCTGACCTTTAGAGGTACTCAGCCCCCAGTGCTGAAAGTGGATCTTGACTGGAACAATGTGGTGGTTATTGGCATCAGAAGCCTTTATAATGTGGTGGGGACACACCGGTGGGGGATCTGGGGGTCCTCCCCCAGTAAGTAGATGCTATTTTCTGCATTCTGGTGTATTTTAAGGCATTGTTAAACATCTATGATTATCTACATAAGTAAACACTTGATTCAATAACTATTTTAGAAAGCAACAAGACCAAGCCTGACCAACAGCTCTCCTTGTGTGAATAGAGCACACTTTGCTTTTCTCACACACCATCGACAACTTCTGGCACTAAAGTAGAGCTAAGCTAGTGAAACTCTGACAATGTTGTTGGAGGAAAAGGAGGTGCAGCTCCTGCAGGTAAGGGGCATTTACCTTCAGGGAAAATTGAGATCACTGACTGGTCAGTTGCTGACAAGCCTACTGGAATGATAGACAGGTGGCGTTGAGGATACGACTCGTACAAAAAAAATAAAAGATTTTACTGGCCCATTTGACTGTCATAATTTATTCCAAATTTATTTAATATTTTGGTGAATATAAGGTTTAAGAACTGTTTCCTTACAAAATCCTAATGATGGTTTCTTTATTTTTCAGGGGTGCCGAGTTAAAATTTAGGGATGCTTGAGCACCCCCAAAAAAGGCTAAAATTGCCACAGGTTTTTGTTTTCCACGTGTTAACCTCTCTCACACAGCATTTAGTAATGAGCATGACATTTAAACAGTCAACACAGAACGATGTGCTATTTGTTAATAAAATGAAAGCACCAAAGGGATGTTTTCATAATGCTTTTTTCTCCATACTTGGTTCAGTAGTGCAGTTTTTGTCCTGTTTCATTTTTTTGCTACCTCTGTGTGTCGAGCATAGTCGTGCTGAGATGAGCCACCTGGGGGAAATAATCATCAGTCTGTGTTGTTTCACTGAGACACTGAGACGAGCAAGGATCATCTGTGTCCAAAGTTATTCCACAGTCCTGCTGCAGGTCCAGAAAGACGTTTGTCTCCATGTTGTCCATAGTCCCTCTCCCCTCCTGAAAGAAGACTGTATTCAAGAACGTTGTTTCAGAATTTGTAGGCAATAAAAGCCCATCAATGGAGCCAAGCGTTAGCCCCTGGGACAAATCAGAGTAATCCACATCCATGCTTGGCAACAAGCCCCCCAGTAATCCTGTCAGTATGTCTGAGTGTCTATCTTCCTCTGCATTTGCTTGAGTATCCTTCAGGCCCTCTTCTGAAAATGTATCCTCCTCCAAAGGAACAAGCGCAGCAGTCTGGGGTTTGTAGCTGGCATGTTCAACCAGCATCGTCCTGGTGCTGGACACTGATGGAGTGGTCTCTGCCAGGGCTTCTCCTGAATTAGTCTGTGACTTTTCAACTTGAATTATGGGACACACCCGCTCCTCTGAGGAGACCACGAGGATCGGAGAGAGAGGAGGGTCGCTGTACGTTGACCAGAATAACGGCTCACTTCTGTCGTCCTGGAGAAAGAAACGTTCATTAATTAAAGGTGTTGCATTGCTTGAAAAAAAAAAAAAAAAGCACATTCAATTCAGTTTATTTATAAAGCGCCAAGTCACAACAGAAGTAATTTCAGGACACTGAACAGAAACATTCACGTATATTGTCAATCACCTTTAATGCCAGAGTGTTAGGGATATCAGAATATGATGAAAACGGATGGAGTTATAGTTTGTTAGAAGCAGTACTATCTGCTACTACCACACTAAATTTATGAGAGAGAGAGAGAGAGAGAGGGTGGGAGAGAGAGAGAGAGAGAGAGGGAGAGAGAGGGCAAGAGAGAAAGGGAGAGACAGAGAGAGGGAGAGACAGAGAGAAAGACAGAGAGAGAGAGAAAGACAGAGAGAAAGGGAGAGACAGAGAGAGAAGAAAGACAGAGAGAGACAGGCAAGCAGGCAGACCGGCAGGCAGACAGACAGACAGGCAGGCAGAAAGACAGACTGGCAGACAGACAGGCAAGCAGGCAGACAGTCAGATAGGCAGACAGGCAGGCAGGAAGACAGACAGAAAGGCAGGCAGACAGACAGACATGTAGACAGGCAGGCAGACAGGCAAACAGACAGACAGACAGAAGTGCCCAACAGTGAATCCTTGATTACAGAGTGTGTGCTCAACATTTAGTCTTCACCTCCAGCAGTCTGATGGCGTTGCTGCGTCCTGGTTTCGGCAGGCTTTCAGCGAGCCAATCAGGTCCCCACGATATGCATTTCTCTTTTATCCTACAACAAAATAATCAACAGAATAAAGATTACAGTTTTCAATATGTTCGTCTTAAAAACAACCATTTTCTATCGTGTTTTATCACAACTGTAGTGTTTCCATAGACAATCGTTTTTTTAGGTTTTGGTTTATGTAAACTAGGAGGGTTACTGGTCAAGTTGTGGCATTTCATAAAAACACACAGTGACATCCGTACTAATTACTCAAAAAAACAATACATGTGAACATTCAAAAAGAGAAAGCATAATGCTCACTGTTATGTTTAATTTAATCATCTAACATGTTCTGTGGAGTGCTTTATGTTTTATTGTTATTTTGTTGTTATTACCATTTTCTCACACAGCTCCAACACATCAGGTTGACGACAGTCACTATGAAGACGGTAACTATGAGCACAATCACGATCACCAGACCGACTGAAGACACAAAAATATCAAAATGCAACTATGTCTTCACTGAGTTTAGCTGAAGATAAAATCACAGGATGAGGTTTAAACAAGTTATTTGGAGATTTCATCTGCAGCTAGCTAAGCACCTGCAGGAGCAACAGGCTGGGAGGAGGTCCATCTCCCTCGTGGGCCTTCTCCTGCAGAGTTGGACGCACTCATCTGTAGAACCAGAGCTCCTTCAGGGCAGTCCAGCCACATCTCTCTTGGACCAGATCCAGATACAATCACTGCAGAGAAAACAATGAGAGTTTGGGTTTTTATTGGCCAAGGCAGCACATTCACTGTTTATTTTTAATGACATGTTTTAAAATCTGCAATTAGGTAAGAGAAAATAACATAAAGCTGTATCTGTTGTAGTAAACCAGCCACTAGAGAACACAAGTCAGTGAATCTTTTGTATCAGTCCAAAGCCAGGGTAAAGGATGAGGGTGGTGTCACAAAGACCATCTGATGCCAAACACTTTTGCCAAAACAACTGTATTCAATTCAATTCAACCTTTATTTAAACAGTCCATCCAAATGACTCCATACTCAATTGATCAAGACTCACTCAGGTAACAATGATTGGCAGAGCTTTAGCAAAAATTCCCATCATCCAATTTATGCTGCTTGACTTCATGCGTTGTAATGAAACTGGAGTCGTCCGTGGCTAACGAGCCACCCAGCAGATTAATAGGCATAAATAAATACACAAATAAATCAATCAAGCTGCATTTTAAGTAAAACAGTTTTTTTTCTTTCTTGCAGCACGGTGACGCAGTTGGTAGAGCTGTTGCCTCTCAGCGAGAAGGTCACCGGATCAAATCCCAGCCGAGGACCTTTCTGGGTGGAGTTTGCATGTTCTCTCCGTGCCTGCGTGGGTTTTCTCCAGGTACTCCGATTTCCTCCCACAGACCAAAAACATGCATGTTAGGCTGATTGGTAACTCTAAATGTCCCTAGGTGTGAGTGAGAGAGTGAATGGTTGTTTGTCTCGTTTGTCCCTGTGATGGACTGGAGACCTGTCCAGGGTGACCCCCACCTCTCACACAGTTACTGCTGGACATGGGCACCATTGTCCTCCATGACCCGAAAAGGAAAAAGATTGTAATGGCTGTATGTTTTTTCTTCTATATTTGGTGACTTCAGAATTGTTCTTTTGCACTGTTTTTCTGTTGCATTATTTTTTTTTGTTTTAGAGTTTGCATCATTCATGTGTTTGCTGTGCGTTTGACTGTTCGAGGCTCGTTTTCACCCGTCGACCACCATAGGATCAGCTCCAAGAGATGTGGCTTTAAAAATTCACCTAGACAACAACTTAATGTTTAGACCAATAAAAGGAGCAAACCAGATAAATAAAGGATCAGTTTGTGTGGAGCAGTCTTCTGTGTGTGATGTTCAGGAGTGATTCAGTGGCTGCACATTAAACCTTGTTACAGAACCAGAGAATATTTGTCAATTTTTAGTCTGCCTTTAGCAGAAAGTTTTGGAGTTCACCAGAGAATACAAAATAAAGCAAAACTGATTTGAAAATAACAAAGTCCATGCTCAATAATCCAGGTATAAAATCCAACATTTTTCAGTCAGGTCATCTGGACAGTTTCTTTTTTTTGTGTGCTGAAATGTTTCGCCTTCGATCCAGAAGGCTTCATCAGTCAAGGAAACACACACCAAAACTGATTCTTCCCCCAACAGCTTACTCCAAAGTGGAACAAACCAGTTCTGCTTGCGATAAGATGGTTTCTTTAGTACGCCCCCTCCTCCATTGCCTCTTCCTTGTTGACAGTCTTGTCAAACTGGTTGAAAACAACAAAGTCCATGCTCAGAAAGAAACTGTCCAGATGACCTGACTGAAAAATGTTGGTTTGAAAATAGATGCATGATCAGCCCCATAACGAAAGCATGAATGTCTTTTGCTTCTACAGCTCTGAAGATGGTTTCATGTTGAAGCTTATGTCTGTAAGAAAACACGAGTAATTTTGTACAAAACCTCAACTGAAGTTCTGTGAAGAACAAAACGCACTAGGCACATGTGACACTTCAGAAAGAGGAAAGCTCAGAGATACTTTCACACTCCACTTCCACAAATAGCATTGTGGCAAGCTAGTCAGTAACAGCCTTTATTGACAGACACATGAGTGTGTGTGTGTGTGTGTGTGTGTGTGTGTGTGTGTGTGTGTGTGTGTGTGTGTGTGTGTGTGTATGTGTGTGTGTGTGTTCATGAAGCAAAATGACTTCCTGTTTGCGGTCAGAGCCTGTTCTAGAAAACTCAGAGATGCAAAGGAAGTGATGACAACTTGAATTTGAGACTTTAGTTTTCATTTACAAACAAGTACAATCAGAAAAGTAACAATTGTAGGAATGTGAAGACTTGATTTTACAGGTGCTGGTCATAAAATTAGAATATCATGAAAATGTTGATTTATTTCAGTAATCCCATTCAAAAAGTGACACTTGTATATTATATTCACTCCACACACATACTGATACATTTCAAATGTTTATTTCTTTTAATGTTGATGATTATAACTGATATTTAATGAAAACCTCAAATTCAGTATATCAGAAAATTAGAATATTACTTAAGACCAATAAAAAAATGATTTTTAGAAATGTTGACCAACTGATAAGTATGAACATGAAAAGTATGAACATGTCCAGTACTCAATACTTAGTTGTTGCTCCTTTTGCCTGGATTACTACAGTAATGCATCGTGGCATGGAGTCAGTCTGTGACATTGCTCAGGTGTTATGAGCCCAGGTTGCTCTGATAGTGGCCTTCAGCTCTTCTGAATGGTTGTGTCTAACGTATCACATCTTCCTCTTCACAGTACTCCATAGATTTTCTGTGTGGTTAAGGTCAGGAGAGTTTGCTGGCCAATTAAGAACAGGGACACCATGGTCCTTAAACCAGGTACTGGTAACTTTGGCACCGTGTGCAGGTGCTAAGTCCCGTTGGAAAATGAAATCTGCATCTCCATAAAGTTGGTCAGCAGCAGGAAGTGCTCTAAAACTTCCTGGTAGACGGCTGCATTGACCTTGGACCTCAGAGAACACAGTGGACCAACACCAGCAGATGACATGGCACCCCAAACTATCACTGACTGTGGAAACTTGACACTGGACCTCAAGCAACGTGGATTCTGTGCCCCTCCTCTCTTCCTCCAGACTCTAGGACCTTGATTTCCAAAGGAAATTATTTTGCAGCCTACAGAACTAGACTGGAAGATCATTTAAAGGCCTTTGCAGGTGTTTTGAGTTAATTAGCTGATTAGACTGTGGCACTATAAGTGTCTTCAGCATTGAACCTTTTCACAATATTCTAATTTTCTGAGATACTGAGTTTGGAGTTTTCATTAGTTGTCAGTTATAATCATCAACATTAAAATAAATAAACATTCGAAATATATCATTCTGTTTGTAATGAATGAATATAATATAAAGTTTCACTTTTTGAATGGAATTACTGAAATAAATCAACTTTTTCATGATATTCTAATTTTATGACCAGCACCTGTAGTTTTTGTTCTACTCCTTTTTCCGTTTTCTTTTGTTCCAAGCAGTATTAAATTAAAACAAATAAAAAAAACTAAGCAATTCTTTGTTTGAATTTCATCACATTACGGGAAGTCAAGAGCTGAAAAACCCTGCTGATGCACTGAAACTTTGACAGATGGAGCATCAATGGAATGCTGCGTGCATGGTTTCCATTATGTAACTGTGGCTTCTACTAAGGTGTGGTATATATGCATACTGCTGCATGTGTCAGTTACCACATGTGTGCACATAGGTACGGTAATTTAGAGAACCTTGGTTAGAAATGAAGTACAAACACAATCTATGTTGTTGAAGAAAGAATCACGGAGGTGGCAGGGCTGTTGATGAGCAAGAACAAGAAACTCACTGAAAAACTGCATTTTCTGCAGACTTTCACATCAAGTCAACACATTTTAACAAGTGCAGTCATTAAAAGTTCCTGGAGAAACTTTGACAGCCACGTTGCTGCCAATTCAAATTTTGATTTGACAGTACTTGTGTCAAGGTTTGCTCTCAGCTACCACCAAATTTCAGCTCGATATGGTAAAAAAAATCAATGAGTTAGTCATTTTTTTCTTTTACGATATGGTGGCCATCTTGGATTTTTAAAATTTGGACTAGTATGTGATGGGGAGCATTCTCTGCTATATCCTCACCAAATTGCAGTTCTAAATGTGTAAAAATAGCTGAGTTAAAGCCATTTAAATGTAGCTTTGGCAGCCATCTTAGCTTTTTTATTTGAATTCAGTATTTATGGGGCATTGCTCTCAGCTGCCACCACAACAAAGTTATCTTAAAATGGCTGATTTATAGTATATTTCCTTTTTAGCTCAGTCCATCTCAGATTTTTGATTTGCAGAGTCTATGGGGGATCGTTCTCAGCTAACAATACACTAAATTTCAGCTGAATAGCTCTAGAAACAGCTATGTCAAATTGAAATTAGTTTCAGTGGCCATCTTGAATTTTTTAGATGTGAATTTAGAATGTGTTGTGTGTCGCTGTCAGCTACCACCACACCAAGTTTCAGCTCTATTTTAAAATAGCTGCGTTATCTATTTTTTCCCCTTTGAGCTAAGGTGGCCATCTTGGATTTTTTATTTTCATGAGGAATGTTGAACAACTCGCTCTCAGCTACGACCATACCAAATTTCAGTTCAATATATCAAAGAATGACTGAGTTATAGTCAATTTTGAGGTTTCTGAGGTAGCTGTGGCAGCCATCTTGAACCAAAATGGCTCCAAAAGTTAATCAGTTTTGTTCAGGGACCTCGCTGTGATAGTTAGAGGCTGTCAAGAGTTCTGTCAGCGTTTTTTCAATGAGAAAAATGGCGTCTTTACAAATTACGTTGCCATGGTAATTTGAAACACCAATAAAATATCAGAGTTCAGGCTGCATTAAAGTTGATAGAAGAGCAAGACCCTTTTCATGTGGATAATAATAGGGGGCTGTCTTTCTAGGCAGTCCTCTATTAAACCACTGAATAGTAAATGGACAGATTCATTTTAAAACAGCAAACTCTTTTCAAAATGTTCTCAAAACCAGTCTCTCTCTCAAGTTAAACAAAACTAATTAAAATTTAAATTACTTTTTTGATCTTAGACTATTTGCCCACAAACCATTTAGTAATAACAAATAGCAAACATGTCATTTTGAAGACAGCCTCATCTTAATGTAATGCATTTTACCTGACAGGAGTAAATGCTCATTAAATGTATTTATAATAATAATAATAAAGTGTTCACCTCTGTGCTCTGTGCTGCTGGGGCCCAGGGTCCGCAGATAAATGGTGTACTTTGTGATGAAGCCCCTTTGCTGGTCTACGGGCAACTCATTCCACTGGACCAGGATCTGCCTGGACTCATGGACAAGGACCAACAGGGTGGGACTATGAACCGGCTCTGAAACACACAGACAGAGAATAACTTGAATAACTTTAGAGATCCAGCAGGAAGTAGTGTATTTCATCCAACTTACTCTTTTCTTTGGAATAGATCAGGTTGGATGCTGGAGCGCTGACCCCTCTGGTGGTTACAGCATACAAAGATACATTATACCTCACACCTGCAGTCAAACCTGTAAGACATGTTCAAAAATGAAACTAGCGGTCTTATAATTATGTAAACTAGGAATATGTTGCAGTTTTTACTTCCTAAACAAGCTGTGTGGTTTCATTGATATGAAAAAGGAAAATATAACTCATACTCACAAGAGGGCACTGTTGAGTTTTAAAGTGAGACTTACTGTCTCACACACGCACACTTTCATAACGTCACAGTTAATTTCAGTGACATAATCCTCCTACTCAAGTCATAGGTTGAAACAAAGTAATTCTGAATATTGTAAGTTTGGCTCTCTAGGCTTTTATATATATATATATATATATATATTCTGCATATAAATATAAATTCTGTGAATTCTGTATATACATTTTTATATAAATGAAGTGCTGCAAGCTTAAAACATGAGAATAAATACTCCCCAAAAAAGTGTCAAATATACATTTGTTTGAGTGAAATTAAAAATTTGCACATTTTTAAACTGTTCAAGAAATCTTTTTAAATATATGTATTTTGAAAATGTTTCTTTTAAGCTTCGATTTTGTGTAGTATAACAATAGCTTTTTAAAATAACATTATAGCCTTTGTTTTATAGAAGCAATGACCACCTCAGTTAAATATACTTTTTACAGTTAATGGCATATGTTGTTTTATTCTAATTTATACACTTCCTCCCAGAAATATTATATTTATTTGTTAAAAACACTGAAAAGGCTAAAAGATAAACTTTATTTATTAGGAACTAGGGGTGCACCGATTGCAGTTTTCTGGCCGAGCACCGATTTCTAAAAAGTCTGACCTGCCAATGTAATATACTGATACTGATTTTGTTTTATAAGCGACACTGTCAGGTGTTATAAGGTCACAATGCACCTTCAATTTTCCAATATTATTTTATTGAAAAACATACCCCTGAACAATATCCTAGAAACAATACACACTTGTTTTAACTGGTCATGAGGTAGTGTTCTGAAATATAAATGAAGTTCAGACAATTGTTGTTAAAAGTAAAATAATCAGTAAAATCGGTTTCTCATGCAGGTATCGGCCGATTTCCGATTTCCCAAAATTAAGAAATTTATTGATGCACCCCTAACAGGAATACTACTTTTATCGATTTTAAGAAATTGACTTTGTCATAAACTCAATAAAGTTATCTAAAATTTGAACTGTGGATATGTTATGGACCTCAGAAGATGTATTTAAATGCAAAACAAAATTTAACACACACACACCCCCCCCCCCCCCCCCCCCCCCGATCGATCACAAAAAAATACTCAGTGTGATATTGTGTTAGACTGATTGGTAACTCTAAATTATTTCTAGGTGTGAGTGAGATAGTGAATGGTTGTTTGTCTCATTTGTCTCTAATGTGTCCATTTGACAATTGTTTCATCAAAATCCAAAACTCAAAAGAAGGTTCAACAAGGCTGACATAACAAGCCAATTTGTTTGCTTTAGTTTATAAATTAAAATAGACCATTTCCTTATTTGTGTCAGTTTTGCTTTCATATTATGCAATAATAAACTTTCTATCCATTATATTTACACGTTTCTTCCTTTTTTGGGTCATGGGGGTCACTGGTGCCTATATCCAGCAGTCACTGGGTGAGAGTAGGGGGACACTCTGGACAGGTCTCCAGTCCATCACAGAGACACATAGAGACAAAGGAGACAAACAACCATTCACTCTCTCACTCGCACCAATTTAGAGTTACCAATCAGTCTAACATGCATGTTTTTGGTCTGTGGGAGGAAACCGGGGTACTTGGAGAAAACCCACGCATGCACGGAGAGAACATGTAAACTCCACCCTGAAAGGTCCCTGGCTGGGATTTGAACCAGCGGCCTTCTCGCTGAGAGGCAGCAGCTCTACCAACGGAGCAACTGTGCCGCCCAATAATAAACTTTGTTTTGTATGTTTTATTTGTTGTTGTCTGCTCTCCTTTCATAATTATACCTGAGAGTGACGTGTTTCTCTGTTCTTTGCGCAGCAGTTTCCACTGGAGCTCTCTTGCAGGTACACTGTCCCACTCCACAACAAAGTTCAACAGTTCTTCTTCAGTCCGTGGAGCCCAGGATAAGAGTGCAGAGCTGCCACTAGCTCCAGGAGTTAAATCTCGCAGGACAGGCACTAAAACACCTGAACAACGAACAGACGTTTCAGTATTTAAAACAGTATTTAAAATGTAACACAAATTGTTGATCACTACATCGTAATCTCAATTTACCTGTGTGTCTGAAGTTCACATTAGCAGGAGGAGACGTTCCATATGAGGTCACTGCAGTGACGCTCGCGGCCTGAACCTCTGCTGGTACCTGAAGTAAACACAGACTGGAGGCAGCAGCACAGCTCTGCACATGTCCGTTATCCAGAAGGATTTGATATTCTAACAGCTCACCGCTGTAATCCTCTGAAGGCGGTGGCTGAAACAAACAGATCCTTACATCACAAATCATTTATTTTAATTTAGAGGACTGCTTTCATTCTTCAGAAAATCCTCACACCAAGAAGTTTAAATAATAGAACTATTGTTTCATCTAAACACAAAGCTTGGCATTTTTATCATTTATTACTGCAGTTAGATGAGTTGGTGAAGATTCTCAGTCATCAAGGACATGGTAAATCCCCCCCCCCCCGGACTCCAAAAAAAAGTTAAAAACAAGACAACTGGACTGTATTTGTAACTGAAGACATTTCGCTTCTCATCCGAGGAGCTTTTTCAGTTCAAAGAAACAAGGAGTGTGGGATTCAATTAAAGCTGTGGTGTTCTGTATGTGTACCATGTGACCAGAGTGGCCCCTCTGTGGGTGGGACTAACAAAGACCCTAATGAGCCTCTATTGTGAGGATTGAGAGGTCAATCTGCATGTGTCAATCTGCATTGTGCAAGCTTACAGAACACCACAGCTTTATAACTTGAATCCCACACTCCTTGTTTCCTTGTAACTAAAGACGTTTCGCTTCTCATCCGAGGAGCTTTCTTAATTCTAAGTCTAGTTGTTTTGTTTTTAACTTTTTTTGGAGTCATACGAGTGTATTTCTTTCTTTCTTTTTTTTTTGAGTGATGTTAAAGAAAAATGCAGACACAGCTGGGTGTGTGAGTTATATTGTATTTATTGAGCTGCCTCTTGGTAATCTGCGCCTCACAGAAGTCATCTGTATGCTATAACATGTCTTTCTAGTAAAAAAAAAAAAAATGTACCTTCCATAAAACAGTAACGTTCCTCAGTCCATTTAAGGTCCAGCCAGCTAAGATCCTCCACACATGTAGCTCCTGAGACAAACCTGACAATGAGACACGCCACACATTTGTAATAAGTGTAAAAAAATAATAATAACCTGACAATATCTGCTCCATCACTTGCCTCTTCCAGGACTCATCTTCCTCACAGATGGGCTCCATCTGCTGCAGAGAGGTCTAGACGTCCACTTGGTTGTAAAGCTGGAGATGTTTTTTGGTGTCAGTCCTGATGGTGAGTCACATGTTCTGATCTGGAGTTCATATCTAGTCAGGGGCCTCAGGTTGTCCACCTGCATCAGTCCGTCACTGAGCTCTGCTCCATCTCTCTGCTCCTAAAAGCAACAGGATAATACAGTCATAGCCTGATAAAGACTGACCTTGAGGTCAACGTGGCTGTTCTGAGACCAGTTTACCCAGGAGCTGTTAGTTGCACGCAGTCTGATTTGGGGTCTGAGATGCACTGAAGACTCTGAGGTCTTCCAGCGCAGCGTGGCGAATGCAGAGCTGCTTCCAAAGTCCATGTGGACTATGTGAGGGGTCTCTGGTATCACTGCAGCACCAAAGAACAAAGAAGTGATGTGCACAAGCAGCTGTCCAAAAACAACCTTCAAATCAAGAGTGTGAGAAAGTCAAGACTGCTGAACAAGCTCCAAATGTTCATTGAAACTAACTGAGGGGGGAGAACTGAGAAAACTTCCCCTTTTTAGAGATAAGCTACTTCGACAGAAACCCAACTGGGTGTAAAATAGGTCAAACTGAGCAGACAAACAACTAAAAGTTTAATAAGACTCACAAACTCAGAAACATGATGATTCTGATCAAAACAAACAAAAAAAAAATGACAAAGTGTGTTTGTGTGGATGCACACTCAGACTGTTACCTAGATCTTTCATGCAAAAGATAAACGGATCGGACCTTGACGCTCCGAAGTGGTTGTAAGCAGTGACGGTTAAGAGATATTTAGTGTTTTCGTCTAAAATTTCTCGTGGTAAGACGACTTCGTCAGCATTCTTGATGCGATTTGAATAGATTTGGGTCCCATTCTCCCTATGAAAGAGCAAAAGTCAGAAGTCTTGATGTGTGGTAAACAATATGACTAAACAGGATGCAACAGTAAAAGCCGTTACCTGAAGAGTGAGACATTGAAGAATGTGAGTATGTATGTTTCCTGTCCTCTCTCCCAGGAGCAGTCGATCAGGTCTGAGCTCCGAGTTGTTTCACAGTTCACGTTTACAGGTTTATCAGGAGGAACTTCAACAACAGAAAATGGAAAACAAAGATTTATTTTGCAGCTGCAGAGCATGAAAACTTTTCTGACACTTCCATGTGTTTTAGGTTCTTCAGTTGCAATCTGTTGATGTTGCCCAAAATATTGATTTATTTTATACTATATGACATCCATCCATCCATCCATCCATCCATCCATTATCTTTACCCACTTCTTCCTTTCTGGGTTGCGGGGGTGACTGGTGTCCATATCCAGCAGTCAGTGTACAAGAGGCAGGGACACCCTGGACAGGCCATAAGTCCATCACAGGGACACTAAGAGGCAAACATTCACTCTCTCACTCTCACCTGGGAACAATTTAGAGTTATCAATCAGTCTAACATGTTTTTGGTCTGTGGGAGGAAACTGGAGAAATCCCACGCATGCATGGAGAATGATTGCAAACTCCACCCAGAAAGGGATCTGATCATGATTTGAGCCGGCGACCTTCTTCACTGAGAGGCAGCAGCTCTACCAACTGATCCACCGTACCGCTTCTATTTAATTTCCTGCTTTCTGATTTCAGTTTTCTTTCCAGGTTCAGTACATCTGCACAGCATACAGGGACTGATGAGCATCTAAATTAAATATTTGGACTTTTTTGTTTGTTTCTTTGTTTATCTGGTAGCATAATCTCCCCCCACCCCCCACCCCACCCCCACCCCTTTTTTTGGTCACATCTTTGAAAATTATGGAGCAGATGGTAATTTGTACTGTGCTATTTGTTTTAAAATATTAGAGCTAACACTGCAGACATTTTTAGGTAAATACTGCTCACAATTTGGATGCATGCTCCCACCTATGAAAGTTGGTTATCAGTCATAAATATCTGTCATTTATCAGTTGAAACGAGTGTTTTCTGATAAAAAGGACCACACCAATGAGCGTCAATAGGCTGATGATCTGAGAAGGAACAAGACCAAAGGGAATTGCTGCTATCTTAAAACAGCTCCTAACAAAACATTTCAGCAGCTTCATACAAATCCTATTTTGTCAACCTTCACTTCACTGCAATTTTTTTTCAATTACAAGTTATTCCGCCATAAATACTGTATTATATTTCCGCCAGAGGTATCTGAGTCTGCATTGGAAATGCTACGGCTAGCTGCTGCCACCACTATTAGCACTTGCAAATAAAAGAGCAAATAATCACAGTACATTTTGAAGAATAAAGGTTTATAAAGTCATCATTATTATCATAATTAAACTCTGTTTCTACTACTGAGGTATTTCAAATAACTATCTACAACAGGTAAGACTTTAACTGTTCAAAGCATTTTCACTGAACCCGTTCAAAAGATTTAAACTTAACAAATGATATGCTGTAACATCAGAGTTAAAAAGCTGAAGCAGCGTTTAGAGTGAAATGTACATACGGCCAGCACGCAGATCCTTTCCATTAACGATGCTTTGAGCTGACAGCTGGTTGTGGTTCATCTTGCAGACCAGTGAGGACTGAGGCGCCCTAACACTGGGCAGGTAGAACATTTCAGTGGTGCAGTTGACTCTTTTGGACAAATTAACATTCCTCCCATTCAGCTCCAGAGTAATTTTATAGCTGAAAGTCAGTCACAAAACTGCAAATGAACCAAACTTTTAAAAGCACCTTCTGGTGGAATACAACAATTCCACATTTTATGGTGGATAGCTGTGTATTTAGCAATTATACCTCCATTCACAGTCACTGATGTGGCAGTACACCGTCAGGTTTGAGCCCAATAGAAAGAGTGGCGCTGGTTCCACTGTCAGGTTGCCAAGTGGGATGAAGTGCTCACAGTCAGCAGGGAGCAAAGGGCAACCTGTCAGGGAGGGACGAGCATGACAATGAGTTTAATGACAAAATAAACTCAGATGAGTCCAAAACTGCACGATAACCCAACTTAAACTGTATTTTTTAAATGAATATTAGAACAAACAGCGGTGAGAGCAGCAGCAGAGGTTAACATTCAAAATCACAAGAACAGTGATCAGGACTGACAGATATGAAACAAATAAAAAAGAGTAAAGAGCTGTAATAACTCACCCTGGATGGAAAAAGTGAGAAACATAAGCATGCATCTCCAGAAGGTTACCAGGAGATTCATCTCAGCTCATTTTCGTCAGGCTTGGAGAACTCATCCAGCAGCTGTCATCAAACTGTGATGTTGCTTTAAATTCATTTGTCAAGAAACTACTTAAAAAATGGATTCTACTTCATGCGACCTCATTCACGAGTGTCCAGGAGCAGAGCAGCGTTCTGGTCAACATGAGGAGGAATGATTTAGTTTATCTTCTCACCTTTGTTCCTGCTGATTTTCCACCAACTAAATGTTTCAGAAGTGCAGGCGTCCTCCGTCAGCACGGCTCTGACACATAAAAAGTCAGACACGAAAAAAGAAAAATTGCCACAATACTTGTTTACCAGTAAAAGTCGACTGCGATCACAAGGTTTACACAGTCCAACTAATCCAAGCTTCAGAAAACATGAATAGTTACATGTATTTTAAACATTTTACATCAAACCCCTTAAACCAAATGAAATAAAACTCACCACCACGTCAACATGTCAAGGTTTTCTTATCAAGATACAATTCAGTGAGGCTGTTGCCCAAACTTCTGCCTCGCTTTGTGACATGCTTTTGTCTAAAGTGATCTTTGTCGTGCACGTCATGCATCTTAAACAGACCACTAACCTAGTTCAGTGGGAAGCAAAAACTTTGAACATTTGTCTCTGTACTTGTGTGCCCTACTTTTATTGCCTGTTTTTCATCACCACAAAGGTTCAGTTGTCAAAAAGCAGACACTTTCTGAAGCAGCTGCGCTCATGAACACGCTGCTGTTTGCAGATGATCCAGTGAATTATTCAGCTTAGAGTTTAGGTTGAAACATGGTCTGAACATTGCTCTACCACAACCCGGTTAATTTGTTTCCACAGATGCTAACTGTTTTGATTTTTTTTTTTTTTTTTACAGTAATGTGCTGATGCAGTGAACAAGAAGTTAAACATCACATCAAATACCTCAATGTGTTGTTACACCCATCTAGGAGTGGCCAGGACATAATTAAATGATTCCTTCTTCTGCTCACCTTAAGCAGCCACCGAGATGGGATGGGAAAAGTGTGACTTATTCACAGTGGTGGAGTTTTTTACAAAATGGAGTCTTATCAGGGTGAGCTCAGGCCAAAATAAATCATTAACAAATAAATCATTAACTCTCTTACTTATGTACAAAAATAAAAATATGCAAAACACAATAATTTTCTTAGCTTCCTGGACTGAGAGCAACTGATTTTTTAAAAATCAAATGGCAGCTCAGCCCTACAAACTCCTCATGGAACTGTTTACAAATTGGATGATGTGGCACAACAGGCGGGCAGCACGGTGGCGCAACTGGTAGAGCTGCTGCCTCTCAGCGAGCAGGTCCCTGGTTCAAACCCCGGTCCAGGGGCCTTTCTGGGTGGAGTTTGCATGTTCTCTCCGTGCATGCGTGGGTTTTCTCCGGGTACTCCGGTTTCCTCCCACAGTCCAAAAACATGCATGTTAGGCTGATTGGTAACTCTAAATTGTCCCTAGGTGTGAGTGAGAGAGTGAATGGTTGTTTGTCTCGTTTGTCTCTATGTGTCCCTGTGATGGACTTGCGACCCGTCCAGGGTGTACCCCGCCCCTCGCACAGTGATTGCTGGACATGGGCACCAGCGACCCCCGTGACCCAAAATGGAATAAGCGGGTAAAGATAATGGATGGATGGGCACAACAGGCCAGATGTGGCTGGTGGGGATGCATGAAACGAATGAAACCACACATCATCACTTCCTCAGCACCTCTCGTCAGCTCCTTTGTTCATGGTCCAATCATGGCTGGCTATCTGGACATTAACCTACTCACATCAGATTCACACACACACAAAACTACTTAAGACAACAGTGGTAACAGTATGCATGAATAATCCAGTTTTTTTTTCAACAAATAAGCTTATGTACAGATTTAAGTGAAATAAAACATTTACAGCTACTGAACTGAGCTTTATTTGGTCTCCCAAATGAATTTGCTCATGTTTAAGTTGCTCAAAATTCAATTCAATTCAGTTTATTTATATACCGCCAATGCACAACAAAGTTGTCTCACGGCACTTTACAGAAACATTCACATACATAGAAAAGACAGTTAAAGTTCTCTATCTAAGGAAGCCAGTAGATTTGTTGATTCTTCATTTTGTCACAGTCTCCCATCCTGAGCAAGCACAGTGGCAACAGTGGAAAGGAAAAACTCCCTTTTAACAGGAAGAAACCTCCAGCAGAACCAGGCTCGGGACAAGCGGCCATCTGCTTTGACCGGCTGAGTTTGAGAGGAACTGGTAGGAGAAACAAACAAACACAGAATAACAGGTCCAGATAGGTGCAGGTGTATTGGAAGGAAGACAAAAACACACGTTAGGATAGAAAAAATAATGACGAATACAAAACCGGTTAAGCAGAGTAAGTAAAGACAGTAACAGAGTGAATAAATGTCATCAGTTCGTCCTCCGGCAGTCTAAACCTATAGCAGCATAAATAAGGGATAGCTCAGGAAACCCAAGCCAACCCTAACTATAGGATTTATCAAAAAGTCAGTTGTTTAGGAAAGTGTCTTTGAGCTTCCTTTTATTATTATTATTTTAGATTTTCTTTTACTGGTTATTTTCCATTTCAAACAACAACTTCACTGATTCATTCTGATTCTGATTCACTGGGGAATCCCAGAGGTTTAACAGACAAGACTGAGGTTTTGGCTTTTGGACCTGAGATTCTTAGGAATAAAATCTGCAGTCTTAAAGTTTCTCTGGACGGCATTAATCTGACCTCCAGTTCTAATGTGAAAAACCTTGACGTTATTTTTGATCAGGACATGTTTTTTAACCCCCACATTATAAAAGTTACCAGGACAGCTTTCCTCCACCTGTGTAATATCACTAAAATTAGAAACATCTTGTCCAAAAATGATGCAGAAAAACTGGTTCATGCATTTATCAAATCTAGACTAGACTATTGCAATTGCTTCATATCTGGGTGTCCAAAATATTTTAAAAGTCTTCAGTTGATAAAAAAATGCTGCTTCTAGACTTTTAATGAGAGTTGGCAAGAGGGATCACATCTCCAGTTTTAGCTTCTCTCCATTGGCTCCCTGTTAAATGCAGAATTGAATTCCAAATCTTACTTCTAACCTACAAAACTCTCAACAACTTAGATCCATCTGATATGTACCATGTTTTCCTAACAGAGCACTTTGCTCTCAGAGTGCAGGTTTACTTGTGGTTCCTAGAGTTTCCAAAAGCAGAATGGGAGGAAGATCTTTCAGTCATCAGGCTCCTCTCTTGTGGAAACAACTTCCAGTTTTTGTCCGTGAGACTGACACATTGTCCAGTTTTAAGATTAGACTCATGTCTTCCCTTTTTGATAAATCCTGTAGGGTCAGCTTGGGTTTCCTGAGCTATCTCTTAGTTATGCTGCTATAGGCTTATTGCTGGAGGACAAACTGACCACATTGTCTCAATCTGCTACTGTCTTATTTGCAATTAATTCTACCCTTAACATGTGTTTTTTGTCTTTCCTCCAATAGAAAGTACACCTGGACCTGTCACTCTGTTTGTCTCTCCTTCCTGTCCTCTCAAACCCCAGCCAGTCGAAACAGATGGCCACTTGTTCTGCTGGTTCTGCTGGAGGTTTCTTCTTGTTAAAAGAGTTTTTCCTTTCCACTGTTGCCTTTGTACTTGCCCATAGGAGACTGCAACGAAGTGAAAATTTAACACACCCTGCTGGCTTCCTTAGATATATAACTTTTATTAACTGGCTTTTTTTTTTAATGTATGTGAATGTTTCTGTTCAGTGAGACGACCTGATGTGACTTGGAGCTGTAGAAATAAACTGAATTGAACTGAATGTAGGAATGGAATTTAGAAAAACTATACATGAGTTCAACACATAAAAAAAAAATCATTTATTTTTTATTTTCTTTATTTATTTTCTTCTTTTAAAACAATTCTATGAAGAGTTAAATTTTGAATCCGACCTCATGGTGGCCTATCTGTTGTTTACACCCCGGAACGGAGGCGGCGCTGTGATTCATGTATCCGCCATCATACAGGAAAAAGACGAAGAAGAAGAAGAAGAACACCAAAGGGTTCTGGATTTGTGACAGTTCTGCTCCAGCTGTAAACAAGTGACTTTTTATCCGAGTTAAGAAGAAGACTCTGCAGGGTCCGGGGGGACCGCTGCTCCCCTGCAGACCCCATCTGGACCAGTCATGGCCGAGAGACCGGAAACCGAGGTAAGGTTCGGGTCTGGACCGAACTGTAAACACCAGTGTGTGCTGGTCTGTCCTAAACAGAACTCCACAAGTCTGGTCTGAACGAAAGCAAAGTTCAAGGTGGTTTTTATCAGCAACTGGGTTCGGTTCGATCCGCATCCAGACCCTGTGGACTTTCTCCTGACACTCTTGTTTCCTCCATTTTCCTCCTTATCTTGTTATTTCCCCTTTTCATCAACCATTGTCTTGTTATTGAACATTACTTCACTCTGTAGATCTATTTGTTAGGATGTAGTTATAGATGTATGTATAGATGTATAGTTCTAGAGTGCATGTGGTGCAGGGTAGTGAGTGTATTCCTGATCCAAGGGGGTGAAGTTTTCTCAGTACATCTAATTCAGATATCATAGTATTCATATACTGTACCTACATATTTGTTGTTTGTTCTTTTTTGTACTTGTTGTGTCTAACATGCAGTTCAATACTTTATTAAAATATCCACCACACATCCCTTTTTCTTCCAAATGTATGACTAATCACTTTCTTTAACAATCACTTTCTGGGGGAGCATATACATTAAATAATGTAACTAACTGGTTTCCAAACTTGTATTTTAATGTATCTCCCCTCTTTGTTTCCAGTTTCCTTAAGCGGACTGTACTTATAGCGCCTTTCTATCTAATCAAGATACTCAGAGCTCTTTACAACACAATATGTGCCTCATTTACCTCCACACACATTCATACAGCACTCTACTACATCTTTGCAAATCTAATCTGAACAAATCATTCTAAAGAGACTAATCAGAGCTTTAGATCACATTCACACACCGATAAGACACAAGTCAGAGGCAATGAGGGGTTCAGTGTTTTGCCCAGGGACACTTCAACATGTGACTGGACAGTGGTGGAATTGAACCCCCAACTCTCCCATTGTAGGACGACTGCTCTAACCACTCAGCCACAGCAAACCCCCCCCACTCTGCACCAATGCCTTAAACATGTCAAACTTCACAGTATTTGAAATCAGGGTCATCACTCCCTTGTTTTTTTTTTTTTTTTTGTCTGTAAAAGCTGGAAAATGAATTCCTGAATTTTAATTTTTCATGTTTTTCTTTTGGTAAATGATTCTGCTATAAAAAGATGACCCACACCTTTTCTTTTCTAAACCTAGTGTAAACGCCCTCTCTTTTCTTAACATTATTTAGTCCACTGACATTCAGCGACGGTGGTGCAGTTGGTAGAGCTGCTGCCTCTCAGTGAGCAGGTCTCCCTGGTTCGAATCCCGGTCCGGGGGCCTTTCTGGGTGGAGTTTGCATGTTCTCTCAGTGCATGTGTAGGTTTTCTCCGGGTACTCCAGTTTCTTCCCACAGACCAAAAACATGCATGTTAGTCTGATTGGTAACTCTAAATTATCTCTAGGTGTGAGTGAGAGAGTGAATGTTTGTCTCGTTTGTCTCTATGTTCCTTTGATGGACTGGAGACCTGTCCATGATGTACCCTGCATCTCAGACAGTGATAGCTGGACATTGGCACCAGTGACCCCCTGACCCAAAAAGGAGGAAGCGGGTAAAGATAATGGATGGATGGATGTATTCCTTGAAATGAGGACCTTTTATGAACAAAGGGCCCTCCTAGCAGTTTGGGATCAACCTATAATAGTGTTAAGACGGGGGCTAGCTGCGGGCCACCGGTTACCCAGAGGCCACCTCTCGGACTCAGGACCCGCCTCCAGCCCACCTCGCTCCTCCCGGCTCAAACCTCCCTCAGAAGCGGCAACTCATACTAACAATAATTCAAGGAAACATGAATTAAGTTTTACCAACTGGATTAAAATCAAGGCAGGAAAAGGTTACAGTTTACAGCACTGGCCTCTCCGGTCTGTGACGCGTTCACAAACCAGAAGGGCCGATGTCTCGTGTCATTACTCATTTATAGGGTCCTAGACTCCTCCTTCGCAGAAGGCGAGCTCAACCTGTCACATGTATGATGGGGCGTGACTAAATGTGATCTCAACAGCTCTTACGTGGTTTTGACGTGTACGCAAATATGAGACGGTGCTTCAAAAGCCTTTCTACGTGATGTAGCGAGCAGAAATAAACTCTATTCCTTGATGGATATTGAATCCCATGGAGACTCTTTTTAGAGTTGCTGGTCCAGTTTGACCCAGTCAGAACCGGGTCATAATTTAATTATAATCCCGTCTCTGAGCAGATCAAAACCTCAGGACCAGTCTAGATAAATATCTAACAGATATATAAAATAGGGCTCCCCATCAGTCCAACAGTCACTAGGGTGTGGGTGTGGAGGGTTCCTTCAGTACCTTAATGAATGGCCTTAATAAACATTGTCTGTTGTGATTTTAAACAGGTTATAAACTAGTATATAAAAATGAAACAAATCTAAGGTGAGCTGTAAATTACATAGTCTCCTTCTAAATGATTTCTACCAGAGTAACATTTAACTTGTTAAAAAGTATGTGCTCAGTTTGGTGGCTTTGCTCACTCACCTACAGTGCCTTGTGAAAGTATTCGCCCCCTTGAACTTTTCAACCTTTTGCCACATTTCAGGCTTGAAACATAAAGATATAAAATTTTTATTTTTTGTGAAGAATCAACATCAAGTGGGACACAGTCGTGAAGTGGAATGAAATTTTGGACGTGTCAAACTTTTTGAACAAATAAAAAACTGAAAAGTGGGGCGTGCAACATTACTCGGCCCCTTTACTTTCAGTGCAGCAAACTCACTCCAGAAGTTCAGTGAGGATCTATGAATGATCCAATGTTGTCCCAAATGACTGATGATGATAAATAGAACCCACCTGTGTGTAATCAAGTCTCCGTATAAATGCACCTGCTCTGTGATAGTCTCAGGGTTCTGTTCAAAGTGCAGAGAGCATCATGAAGACCAAGGAACACACCAGGCACCAGTTTAAAGCTGGATTTGGATACAAAAGATTCCCCATGCTTTAAAGATCCCAAGGAGCACTGTGCAAGCAATCATATTGAAATGGAAGGAGTATCAGACCACTGCAAATCTACCAAGACCCGGACGTCCCTCTAAACTTTCATCTGGAACAAGGAGAAGACTGATCAGAGATGCAGCCAAGAGGCCCATGATCACTCTGGATGAACTGCAGAGATCTACAGCTGAGGTGGGAGAGTCTGTCCATAGGACAACAATCAGTCGTACACTGCACAAATCTGGCCTTTATGGAAGAGTGGCAAGAAGAAAGCCTTTTCTCAAAGATATCCATAAAAAGTGTTGTTTAAAGTTTGTCACAAGCACCTGGGAGACACACCAAACATGTGGAAGAAGGTGCTCTGGTCACATGAAACCAAAATCCAACTGTTTGGCCACAATGCAAAACGATATGTTTGACGTAAAAGCAACACAGCTCATCACCCTGAACACACCATCCCCACTGTCAAACATGGTGGTGGCAGCATCATGGTTTGGGCCTGCTTTTCTTCAGCAGGGACAGGAAAGATGGTCAGAATTGATGGGAAGATGGATGGAGCCAAATACAAGACCATTCTGGAAGAAAACCTGTTTGAGTCTGCAAGAGACCTGAGACTGGGACGGAGATTTATCTTCCAACAAGACAATGATCCAAAACATAAAGCCAAATCTACAATGGAATGGTTCACAAATAAACGTATCCAGGTGTTGGAATGGCCAAGTCAAAGTCCAGACCTGAATCCAATCGAGAATCTGTGGAAAGAGCTGAAGACTGCTGTTCACAAACGCTCTCCATCCAACCTCACTGAGCTCGAGCTGTTTTGCAGGAAGAATGGACAAGAATTTCAGTGTCTCCATGTTCAAAACTGATGGAGACAAACCCCAAGAGACTTGTAGCTGGAACTGCAGCAAAAGGCGGCGCTACAAAGTATTAATGCAAGGGGGCCGAATAATATTGCACGCCCCAATTATCAGTTTTTTATTTGTTTGTTTGGCACTGTACATCCTTAGGCTTTAATCTAAAAACACAAGACGTTCAGTACCTCTTAATTTCTCCCTCACACTGCCCTCTCCATTATCTTGAGGGAGGACCAAAGTTTCTTCATTGTTTAAACTCCTGCAGTCTTTCCCTCGTTTGACTCCTTGTGTCTCAGCTCGGTTTCTCTGCAGCGGCGATCCTTTCACTTGTCCCCTGCTTCTTTTCTGTGATGCATTGTCATGGTGACGCCCTTAGGATCTTCTGCTCGAGTGAAGGTCTGCTGCCATCCCCCTCCTGTATCTCCAGCCCTAGTCTGCTTGTGCCTCGTGCTGCGTCCTCTGTGTTCTCATAAATCTTGGGTCCGTCCAACCAGTGACTTCATATTTTAGTCGGTGGTGTCAGGAATAGAATTCTTTTAGCTTTTTTAATCCCAGTGCAGGATTTGCATTTTTTCATCACCTCGGTGGAGTAGTCCTGATCAAAAAATATGGGTCTCCAATCAACTTGAAGTGTTTGTTACCACGCTTTCGCCAGAATTTTTTCTTTGGTTTCATATATGAGAAAGTTGACCCCTCTGGACCTCAGAGTTGCTCCTGATGGTGGTTTCTTTCTGAGTCTTCTGTGATCCTATGATCTGCAGCTTGGCTTCCTCCAGTAATGCTAGCTCCGGGTGCAGGAGCTTGCCCAGTGCCCACCATCTCTTGCACAGATTCATTCTCTTTTTATAAATTCTTAATCTAGATTGTGTCTGTCCACCTCAACTTGTAGTTTTATTTGTTTTAAAACATGTTGAATGTTCTCCTTCTCCTCCATGTTCCCATTCCTCCAGCTCTGCTATCTGACCCTGCGTCTCGTTAATACGTTGCTGTTATTCCACATTTTGTGCCACTTTTCTTATCGTCTCTTCTTTAAAGTTGGAGAATTTGCACCTCACCTGTTCTTTAAATTTGTCTTTGAATTTTGTGAGGCTCTCCTTCAGCTCTTTTTTGAAGCCCTGGATTTTATCGTGATGGCCATTAGCCTGTCCAACAGTACATGGAGCTGCTTTGTGCTGCCCTTTTCTTCGTCCACTCGCTCAGCTT